CCAATATGCTGGGTTGTATGACTCTTTTTTTGCAACAAGAACACCGTGTTGGCTCATATTTGGTTTATGGTCTACTATAACCCCCAGGTCCTTATCTGCAGTACTGCAGCCCAGATAGTCATTCCCTAGTTCATTCAGTCCTTAGCCTCTTATACTAATGTGAACAGCCAGTGACCCCCACCTTGGTCCTAGGTGGATTTGTGATATGCAGCCCTGAGAAATGGATTGAGATCACCAAGTCCTTTACCACAGACCGCCCACCCCATCCAGGTGGTAACTATATTGGTTCACCTTGGAATTGAACTAGACATGAAAGGCTCTGCATATTCCCATTTCTAATCCACCCAGCTGCACAAATAAAATTAAATAAAATGGTGGTGGTTGATTTACTTTCTCAACTCTGCTGGGAGCATGAGCAAAGTCTTGTAGCTGGTTAGTGATGGGCTTCAGAAGACTTCCCAGCCTTTTATTGTCAAGGGAGGGAGGCAAGGCACCTTCAGGTCTGTTTTATGCAATGAGCTGGTTGAGGTTTTTTTATGTCCAACATCTTCAGACTTGAGCACAATGACGAAATATTTTCTAGTTCCTTCTAGAAATGGCTGCAAGGAGGCTAAATATTCTCTAAACTTTGGTATCCATGTCAATTCAAGGGATTTGAAAAGGCCCCACCTTACCTCACCTTTCCTGTTGCACATGGGGCTCCCAGTTTGAGAAGTTGTAAATGATCAAGAAACAGGGGCCAAATGCACAAGTGTGCATGCCTAAATCTAGGAATTTACATCCATATTTTAGGACCTTAATAAAAGTGCTTGGTTTACAGAGCTGCGCACTTCACAGCTCTCCTGTCAAAAAGCTATCAATTTTAAGTAGCACAGTTCAGGCAGCCAGCTCCATGAAGTATGACCTGGATTCACCTCATTATGTACCACAGCGATGGTGGCTGAAATCTGTGACTTAGAAGAGATCTTTGCTGGCAGCACTGACTATATTGACACGTACTGAAATCTGAGTCAATACAGTTGGAGCAGTAGTGTATGGAGGAAATACTTGTCTTTTGCTGATCGAGTCTTCAGCTTGCACACTGAAGGTGGCATATATGGCAGTTGAACAGCACATCCTAGTCATACCCTTACATATGGAACAGATCCACTAAGCTGTAAGGCTCTTTGGGGCAGGGATTGAAACTATTCAAGTGAAATTTTTTGCCCTACTACTTGTATTTTGATGCCTGTATAAATCGGCAGCAAATTACTGCCCTGTCTTTCCCAAAAGGAAGGAGAAAGCAGGAAGGGGTTTTGTCTCAGGGAATCAGGTGGTCTTCAAGTCCCCATGTCATATAGACACCCTCCAGGCATGGTGTACCACGCAGAGTGGTAAAGGCTAAGTGAGTAATATAGCACTCTGACTTAGAAGAGAAATGCTGTTCTGGCCCCACCTGTCCTGTGGTTTTAGTTGGTGGAATTGTGTCCTCAGAGCAGTAAATCCTTTGCAGGACAGGTGGAAATTTAAAACCAGGATGATGAAAGAGCTTCTGGTCTGATCCAGTAGAACAGAGACTTGGGTCAAATAGGATGCAACTGTAGGGATTAATTCTGGGATGCACGCACGCGCGCACACACACACACACACACACACACAGAGAATTATCATTGATTTTGAGTCTGTGTGATCTTTGCGTGCACGCGCGCGCGCACACACACACAGAATTATCATTGATTTTGAGTCAGTGTGATCTTTGTAAGCAAATGTGAGGGCACAGCTTAGCCCAGCCCCTTAGGTATTTAACTAGTAATAAATTCCTGTGAGAAAGAAGGGTTAGGGCACAATAATTCTTTTACAGATACCATTAACCAAACAATTCATCTCTGCCTCTGAGAAGACAGCTCCTTGTTTGGAATTCACTGACAGTAATAAACTGCTCTGGTATTGCAGCTTATATTTAGCAGGCTCTCTCCAATGAATTACTGCCTGCTTTAAGCAAAGTGCAGACATCCGTTCCTGTGTAGCTAAGTGTAGTTGATGCCACACAAAGTTGCTTGCAAAGCTATAAGAACTGTTTGGGGTAACGAAGCTCGTAGAGCTTTACACAAGTTTTGTAGATATAGCATTTTATTCTCCCACCCTAACCTCCACACAGCTCCTATTGATGCAAATGTATCAAAAAGAAAAACAGACCCCTTGCGGGTGTGCACAGAAAAGCAAAAGGTTTGGCTGTAAAGTCCTGTCATTTGGCACTGAATTCTCTGTGATTGAAATATCATCTCTGATTGCTCGCTCACCCCCCTGAGCATCTGGTATTCTCCTTGCTTTGGTACTGATTTAACGAACAGGGCAACCTCCCCCTCCTCCCCCCAACATACATACACCCTCCGAACATACAGAGTTTGGTTACAAAAAGGAAACTTGTATGAGCAGCAGGGCTGGCACCCAGCTCCAGGCTTCTTGTGTGGGTCCTGTCCTATCCCATAGGAGTACTGTGTGGTTAAGTGAAATAGCTGTGCAGCATGTTCTTTGCAATCCATGAGGGAGGTGTGGGGCAGGGAGCAGAATGGTCTATACATTTTGGAACTTTTTCCTCCCACTGCCCCTGCCAGCCCACCAACACCGCCGCGTGGCCAGCTTTACAGTGTGTGGTGCGACTTCTGGTCAGTCAAGCTTTGAGCTGCACGTAATTTTTATTGCTTGCCAGGGCTGCTTTGTTGTCTGTTTTAGGTACCCTAATTGGTATTTCATGAAGAATGAGATACTTGTGTGAGCCTTTTCATTGTGACTGTAGCACAATTAGGGGTGGCTGAGTTGTGCTGGGCACCAATGTGGATGAGCCACAGGTACTGGTTTAGATGAGGTATAATATTGGTTGCTGCTGCTGCTGATAACCATGTTGTCACTGCCGCAGCCAGCGGCCCAGCTGCTGCCTCTGCTCAAGGCATAAAAATGGCTTGATACACCTCCGCATTCTGCTGGGCCTGATTCCTGGATAGTGTTAAAAGGCACAGTCCCATCCAGGCAGATTAAAACCAGCTGAGTAACCGGCCCTCAGTATTTTAAGAAGCACTTTCTTTACAGGACCCACCACGGTCTGTAAGAAACCTCGATAATTCCCATTTTCAAAACTGGCATCTAATTTTGATTGGCTAGTTTTAGACACCTTGGATCAGGTTTTCAAAAGAGCTCAGCACCCAGCAGCTCCTATGTAGGCCCCTATATAAGTGGCTGGGTTTTCAGAAGTGCTCGATACCCACTGAGAGCTGCTGGAAACAGAGTCCTTTTGAATCCTCAGGCATTTTGAATCCTCCAGCATTTCATTTGCGTGTTTCTATGAGAGCTGAGCTTTCTTGATAACCTGTCCTCTGGTTTGGAGCTCTGGATGAAACTGAGGAATGAAAAGCCACATTTGAAAATTTGGACCCTAGATAAAAATTCAAGTAACATAAGAGGGTATGGGTGATATCAGAAGAAATGTTCCTTTAGGTAAGATGCATTACCTCGCTGTACTCCCATTTCCCCTCTGAAATGAGTCTGATGAGATTTACTTCCTTCATAGAGTGCTTTGAAACCTGCAGATGAAAAACTCCCTATATATGAATATCATGACTATTGTTGCCATCGCCATTCTGCTCCTTTAAACCAGGAGACAACTATTCATAAGGAGCAGTCAAGGTTCTTTAATGTACCATACCTCTGAAAAGGGGAAAAGGAAGTAGTTCTGAATGAGTGAGCGGTATGTTGTCTAATAATAACCAAAGGATACTGGGGTTGAGATGTGCATCTCTCTTCCAGCTTCTGCTACTGACTTGCAGTGTAATGGCGAGTCATTTAAACTTCCTTCCCCAACTTAACAGGAGCCTTTTCCTATCTTAGTCTTATACTCTGAGACCTTGGACTGGATGTGCTATGTACATACAAAGTATTGTTAAAAGCTAGAGGAAGGATCCAAATAGAGCTTCCATTGTTCTCTGAGCAAGTCCTGTAAATGCTTCATATGGGGATGGAAGGTTACAAGCTCAATTCAAACCTTGTATAATGAGTGCAGGTCATCTGAAAAATGGAGTTACACACTTCAAGCAGGTCGGAGGTTGGCCCTAACCTTTAATTTGCTTCTAATTCTGCCATTAGGTTACAATTACTGTGCATTTAATACTGTTATAATCATGTCACAGAGGGGAGCCAGGGGGTCAAAGTTATCTGAGGATTTCAAGGCTGCTGTGTGCAGCATCAAAAGGAGATGTTCTTAGGCTTCGCTGGAGAAAGCTCCAAACATCACCAGGGTATGTATGTATACCCCAGAAGTCAAGATTTACTGGTGTAGGAGTGACAGAATAGGCAAAGTGCTGGTACTATCGATACAGTTATACTGGCAATGTTGCCCGTTGTACTGGTAAAATAAACCTGCCCCCCCACAAACAACACAAGTTGTACCAGTATAACTGCATCTACAAGAGGGGCTTCTGCTTGCACAGCTCTGTCAGCATGGATTACATCTCTTCGGGGCCCTGACTGATAGGCAGAAGACTGTAGGGCAAATGTAGCCTCCCAGACATATATGTGCAATTGATTTTTGATGTGCTGCTGAGATTAGTGATTGATGTCTATCCTGTCACTGACAGGGTCAGATGCTACTGAACTATCCTTGGACATGAGAGGGGGCAGACTCCTGGGGGAGGAAGTGGTCCCGTGCAGCAGGTGAGGGAAATGTCCTCCATCCCATCTCAGAGACTCAAGCACTCTGAGGCAGTACAAAACAGAAAGCCGAGGGACCCTTGTCTGCGTTCTCTGACTGTGGCCATTTTGGGGTCAGGCCCAAGCATAAGGCCTGACTCTCTCGCCTCACAGACATCAGTGTGTTGCAGGAGTAATTCCGTTATGGTAACTTGTGTGGATTTATACCAGTGTGAGTGAGACCAGAACTGTAGCTTCTGTTGCCCCAAACCCACTCTGCCCCCCCCAGCGCTGCCCAAATTGTTGCCTCAATTCAAATCAGAATGTACAAAGCATCAGAAACATGAGCTGTTTTTCTTTATTTTACTCTTTTCAGTTCTTGTACAACCAATCACTTCTAGTCTGGCATTTTATATATTTATTTAAAAAAAAAAAAAGAATCGACAGACATATTTTCAATAACTTAATTTTGAATGTTGCAAGGCATCTATTGTCATAAAAGAAAAGCGTCTCTATTACAGGCTTTTGTTACTGATGATTACTCAAGGAGAGAGATGCACCATAAAAAATAAAGAACAAAAAAAAGCAAAAGGCCAGGAAGCTACGTTGTTCGGCGAGCACTGCCAACATTAATTTATGGTGCTAGAAATAAATGAGTGCAGACAGTTATGGCACAACCTCTGGATTAAATGTATCTGCATTATGTGACTACTAAAACTTTACTTTTACAATATACACTTTCAATCAAAGCAACACAGAAGTCAATAGTGATAGTTCTTGGAGGTGTATTTTACCTTCAGGCACTGTTGTTTCCAAGAGAAGCATGAGCAAGGACATATGTCTCTGTGCAATGCTGACTGCTTGTGGAAAGAGATCTCCCAGAAATCCTCTGAAATCGATTCCTTCTTTGGAAGTACCCGCTGCTGCTGTTAAAGGACCGTTGCCTGTTTCTTAGATATTCCTTGTAGTTTTTGGTCAGCAGGGTGTAGAGGAAGGGGTTAATGCAGCTGTTGCTGTATGTCAGGCACGTTGTCAGATAGTTAATGTTCCTCATTGCTTTGGGAGACAATGGGAAGGATTCATAATATTGGAAAAGGAGCTGCCATATCCAGAAGGGCAAGAAGCATGCCCAAAAGACCAGCACTATTGTGAAAATTAAATAGAGCACTTTTTGATTAGGTAGCCGCTTGGTCTGTTTGAAAGTGGCTGTTTGGGACACCCAATAAGTCCTAGCTAGTCTAATGTAAAGGTATCCAATGACCACTCCTGGACCCACAATGCTTGTACAGAAGAGGATGGTGATATAGATTTTGTATGACAGCTTGCTCCATGTGGGCAGACAAATACTTTTGTTGTCCCTTTGCACTAGCTGGATCATGATGAGCATGGGAAGAGTAAGCAGCAGAGACACCAGCCAGATGACTATGGCAATGGCTTTCCGATAGCTTTTTGACCTCTTCACTGTGTCCAGGGGCTTCAGCACTGCAAAGTAGCGCTCTGTACTCATGACTGTCAAGGTGAAGATGCTAGCATGCATGGTGAGGAAATCCAGACTGAACAAGATGCGGCAACCAATGTCCGCAAAGTACCACTCCTGAAAGAAATATGTTCCAACGATGAAGGGAATGGTAAGAAGGTAGAGCAGGTCTGCCAAGGCAAGGTTAATGATATAAATATACATAGAAGCAGAGTATCTCAAGTAATGGCACATCACCACTAAGGTGTAGACATTGCCTGTCACTCCGATCACACACATAAGAGAGAGGATAGTCCCAATGGTGCAAGTGGCTATTGTGTCTTCCATTGAATTGGTGGCTGGTGTGCTGTCCCAGCTGGCATTGTAGGAAGAGTTGGAGCTGATTCTGAATGGGCTCCCTTCACTTGTATCTGTGGCCATCTGGGTGGTTGTTGAATATCCATTCTCCAGCTCTTCATTTAAAGACATCTTGAACTTCTTGCTCAGCTGCTCTTTTCATAACTTGGACATCCTTTGGTCAGTTCTTTCTGGTCTGGAAAGTTTGGCAGTGGGGAGGATCATAACCATTTCTTAGCAGGTTTTCATATGAGGAAGGAGAAGGAACACTTGACTGCGAACCTGCAGGATGAATCCCAGTTTCTGCGCTAGAGGAAATGAAACAGGAAACAGTATGTTAAATGTTTGATAAAGCAACAGACATCTAGAATTCATCCCAAAGTCAGCCCTCTCTGATTTCTGCATTGCTTGTGTGAATAGCAGATCTTCCATAATGGGATGATACCCGTGTGCAAAGACTCATGAAGGTTTTGGAGGACTCATAGGCATAGGAGAATCCAGCATTGAACCTCCAGATTGCTAGCTGAGGGGAAGATCAGAAAGAGATGCAGCTTACTATGGGGATTTCTGAATACTGCCACAGCACTTAATTCAGAATTTGAGATTGAGAAAGTAAGCCCTTCTTAGGTCCATAATAGCAACATGCTTAATTACCATCACCATTACTAAATAAGGAAGGCCTGGCAGCCACCGAACTTCTCAGAGGAGTCCAAGGCCATTCCTACATAGTAAACAGTGTGTAGGGGAGCAGCACCCTCACCTATACCACAGTGTGTAAGCCCGGAGTGGCCAATTGGCCAGTGAGTACCACAAGTACTACTTGAAGCCTCCGTGTGGCATATGGCAGATTAGGGAGGAGACGGGCCGAAAGTAGAAGGTAGAGCATAGATTATGGAGCAGAAAGCAGAACAGCAAATTTGGCAAAGAACAGGGATTGGAGTGGCAGCCAAAGCTGCAGGGCTAATTTGTGGCATTTCTGCCATAAAGGTTGGCCCCCACTGGTGTAAGCAACATAGCTGTATTTGCCTGACACTTTGGGCAAGACAGCATTACCGAGTGAAAGTAACCACTGGCATGTTCATGTCTTTGCGTGGCCATGGCTACGCTGCTTTCAGTTTAGGAGACGGTGGGTGCATCTACATGTGCATTTCAATGAGCATTAAAGCATCATTAAAAATGTGCTTTTCAGTTGATGTGCATTAAAATAGGCTAATACACATTAAGTGTCACTTAAAAACTGTGGGCGCCTATACATGAACACAGAGGTTGCTCCGACATGTTGGAACTTCAGCGTGTCGGAGCAGATGAATCGAGTCTGCACTGCACACACTGCAGCAACCTCCTGCATCTCGTGCATCAGTGTCCTCTCACTTAAAATTGGCGGCAGGGGCACTTGAACTAAAGCTCCTTGAATGAGCTTTAGTTCAAATACCCCCACCACCACTTCTAAGCGTGGGGATGCTGTTACAAGAGACGCAGTGGTGCTTTAATTAGAGTGGCTCTCGGGGTACCTCACAATGGCTGCCTAACCACAAAGTGTTTTGTAGTACCTGACAACGGAGGTACTAGATTTAATGTACATGAAGTAAAGCTTGTTAATGCATGTGTAGACTCGCCCAGTGTGTTTGAAGCTGCCCAGAATGCTTGAGGGCTCAGCTTTTGCCAGGCAGCATAAGTTTACCACACGGGCAGGACCCAAGATACCAAGAACTGGGATACCAAGCCTTGGCCTAACAATCTGCAACCAGCACTCTGTATTTTTGCACGTGATCAATACTCACAATTCCCCAAAACAACCAAGCATTATCAAGTAATGCCTTTCAGAACAAGAGATTGTCACTATAACTTCACTTTTTGCAGTTTGAATATTGTAATTGCAGGGGGACCCCCCCCCCGAAAAACCTGGGATTTCTGATCTATTTCTCTGTAAGGAGTCATGCTGTACCTGGACCTACTCGAAGCAAGCTCTCCTGTGAGTTTGTGAGCACGTGTGTATACCTAACTGACCCAATCAGTGTGATTTACAAACACTAGATTATTTGTGTCTGCTGTCCCTGTTTTTCCAGACACACATGCACATGCAGACACACATACATTTATGCACTTTCTGAATTTTGAAGAACTGTGACTTGGTTGTCCCCATGCAGACTCTCAGTATGCTCTGTGTTTTCATTATATCCATTCGTTTTCTTAAGCCCAACCAGCTCCTGTGGGAAAGCCACCCCACAGAAAGGGGCTCTGCCACACTTATTTCTTGCAAGTCTTTCCTTGCACAGATTTTACTCCAGCTTTTACCCCCTTGAGAAGATGGAGCATGCTTCAAGGTAATGGCTGGGAGGTCTAGCCCCCAGATGTGGCAGGTCCCTGGAGATCTGTGAGAAGCCCTGTGACTCCACATTGGCTCTGGCCCTTCCTCTCATTTGCCCCCTGGCAATGAGATGACTTTTCTTGACTCCTTCTCTGTCTGTGGCTGTATGTCAGGACCCTGTAGATATGGGAAAGATTAATACAACCACTGTAGAGCCAGGGGGTGGACAATTGCATATCCTTCCTGTGGTGTACCCACTCCTTTAACTGGCCCATCTGGTCTCTATGCATCACTTCCACACATGGACGTGCCTTGGAGAAAGTGGCAGAGAAAGTCCATATAAGCAGGTTGGGACCAAAGAGAATTGCCCTGGCATAGTACTTGGGACAAGGGAGCACATAACAAAAAGCAGAATACATAAAATCATAATATACCCCCAATCCCTTATAACAAAAATACCTAAATCAGGAGGGCAGGAGGGGGAAGGGGGATTACTGAGGCTGGTGGTTATGATACAGGAAGCCAACTGTGCTCATTCCAAAAACAGCCTCTCTTGTCTCCTCTGCTCCAGTGCAGCCATCAGCTCACCTGGTCCAGACCTAGCAAAACCAGGTCCTCCTCCTCCTCCATGAAATACGATGGGGCTGAGCCCCACTCCGTGCTTTCTCCCCCATCTATATGCACGCAGCCCCGTCTGCTTCCTTGTCGCTCACTTTGCCCGAGTATTTGTTTATTCATTCAGATCTGTGCTGCCAGGGAGTGTCATGCCTGAAAGACACACGCGCGCTTGCTGGCTCTGTTGGTGCCTCAGGAGACGGCTGCCGCACAATCCCCTGCACACTCTGCTAGAATACAAATAACTCAGCATGGGATGCTCCAGCCAAGCCCAGCTGCCACTCACATGGAGCACGCACAAGCACAATTTGTCTCAAACAGGCTAAGTTTCATTAAGCGTGGGGCTTCTTTTTGTCTCCATCATTCACGATTTCCTGCAGTTCCCTCAGGTTCAGCTTTAGGCACTTTAAGGTGATCTGGAGCAGTAGTTTGATGAAATGGCATATTTTCAAGGTGATTTGGGTGCCTTACTGCAGTCACCTAATGAGAGAGGTATCTCTTGGAGGCAGCAGCACGCACCACGCCTCCTGCCTACACTGCTTATTCTAAGCTCAGTAATTGTTCAAGTTGCAAAAGTACGGAAGCCCCCAAGTTTAAATGGAACGCTTCACTTGCCTTAGCACACAGCTATACTGCTCCTCAGGTCTGTGAAGAGCAAAATGAAGCAATCTAGAGAAATCTTTAATTGTTCTAAAAGTCTTTCTGGCTATATAATTGTATATTGTCTTCCTTCCTCCCATTTCCCTCCCCCCGTCCACACGCACAATAAATAGCCTGTTACTCCAAAGTAGCAGATCATTCCTCCCGACATTTCAGAACACTAGTCATACAGCACAATTCTTTTCCTCAGCCATTCATGCCTTTCCCCCGACAGCATCACCTACATACACCATGCACATTTCAAGTTGTTACAAAAGAAATGAATTGTCATGTTCAAACCTGGCTGTTAAATCCAGTTGATGAAGTTTCCTACAGGAAAGAACAAACAAATCTGCTTGTTTTTTTAGAAAGGATTCAAGACAGGAATTTTTTTTTTTTTAAAATTGCAAATCCTTCTTTGTGGATAGGCTGTGCGAGGTCTGCGTTGTGCATCTGGTCAGGCAGCGCTGAGGAGTGAGTGCACTACCTAGCCAAGTATGTTTGAAATCTGTGCGCTCTTAGTACTCCCGTTCTCCCTTCACTCATGCCTGCTATTTATGTTACTCAATGACGTTAGGCATAATGTAGCTCTGACTGCAGCTAGCTATGATCCTTTTTAAAGCAGCAGCATTTGATAGCCACGGCTGGTTTTGTTAGCTCCCCACCTGATTGGCCAACAGCCAGCTGGGAGTGCAACATGTCAATGTTGTTTTTACCCCAAGACTGGTTATACTAAAAACCACCCTGCCTCTCCTTCCATTGCATAGGAGAACACAGATCCCAATACTGGCTGAGAAAAAAACCTAGTGTTAGGGAAGGGGTATAGGTTGTTTTTTATATACACACACACATATATATACATATACACATGTTTGTGTGTGTAGAGTTAGGGAAAACCATTCACTATAAGAAAGCGTTAAATTCCTTGGGTGAGAGTTGGCTGGCCAGTGAAACTGTGCACTCAATTCAGAGATCAATTCTAAAGAGAAAGCAAAGTTTATTTGGATCCGAGGTAATATTAATACATGAATCTGTGTGATGGCATCATGCCTGACAGCCTCTCTGCCCGTTTACACTGGCAAAAACAAAAAGGCATCCGAGTCGCTTTGAGTTAGCTGGATTCCCTTTTGTTGGTGCTCGGAAAGGAATATTAAGACAGTGAGGGATCTGTAGGGCAGCTAGGAAAACAAAACCATTCAGAAATGGGATGGGACTGAGAAATTGCCAGGCAGAAGCTCAGGGGAGAAAATTAACATCTGAGCATTATTTGCAAAGTCTCGGTTTGAGTTGTATCTCATGTACCTTTGCTTTACCCCATGGTAGTTCCACTGGCATTAACAGACACCTCTGATGTACATCAGCGAGAATGCACAAAGCGTCAGGTGCGTTTCCTTCCATGGTGCTCCTCCTGACTTCTGTCACTGTAGGGAGGTGATAATTAGGACCATATTTTGCTGTGTTCACAGTCAAATGGCAGAGCAAATAGATGAAGCTTCCAAGAACAGTTGCTCTCTGATTTGAAGGCAGCACTATGGTGGACACAGCTGACTCCAGGCTTCAGTGCTTTGGAGATGATGCTCTCTTCCTTTGTTATTAATGAGTTAATGATTGGCTTTAATTCCCCTTTTTATCTCATTCTCTTAATTCTCAAATTGTTTCTTCTTCATTCTCCATTTTTAATATTCCTTTTCTTGCCATCTGGGAACTCTCAAATGACTTTTGTTACTAAGGATATGCCTGTGCTGCGGAGTCAATTTGAGTTATCAGTGTTCAAGTTAACTCCTCTCGCTCTCGACTAGCTTGAGGGAGAGCTTTCACACTCTGAAAGAACACTTGAGCTACTTTGAGTAGTTGTGGCAGCAGCTGAGGAGTTGTTAAGCTTAGCTGTAGCCTTTACCCCCTGAAGGCCCAGCCAAATTGAGTTGAAAACACCACCGTTCAGGAACCAAGGGGCTTTGTGTGTGTGGTTGAGACTCGAGTTAGGGACAAACCCTTGGGTTACAACTCCACTTAAGTCTTCAGTGAAGACAAACACCTTAAGTCAACATCACTACTAGTGAGTAATTAGAACTTAAAACCCAGCTACCAACTCCCTTGAATTTGGGGATTTTTGCTTTAAATCTCAATCAAAACAGATTTTTTTTTCTCTAGGTACCACTTCCCATCAATGATAAAGTGCTGATTGTTCTTTACTAAACTGTCCTTTTCCTCCCAGTGGAGAAAAATCCACCAGTAAAACTTGAATCCCCCTCCTCCCACCCCAGCCCCTTTACCCCTGCATCTTAAATGCAAGTTTACTGCAGTTGTGGTTCTAGTTTGTGTTGCTTGCCTGTGACTATTGCCAGAATTATGTTTTATTCTCTCCACTCTTCTTGTCAATGTCCCTTTCTAGCTGTCAAGTTCCTTCCCATTTGCTACTGATCACTAGCAAAGACACTATTACAATGATTTAAATGAAAGGTTTTGGCAGTGTTTGCAGAGGACTCTTCAGTAAGAATTTTCTGCTGAAATGTTTGCTTGGGCTTGAATTCCTTGTTATGAGTGTAAATCAGGAACATGGCCATTAATTCAATGGAGCAAAAATCCATGTGTGTGTGAGGCGAATCACTCTTTTTCACTCTGATCTGATGGTTAAACCATTCTCTAAGTAAAAGGGTTACCAAGAAATAGGCTCTAGGCTAACACACTTTCAGAACATGTACATATATATAAAAAATATAAGAAGGGAACTGCTTGGCTTGGAGGACTGATTAGCTAGGCTAGAAAACCCACCACCCCCACAGCTACATTTCAAATTCGGCCCATCTTGGAGCTGTTGCCATTGGATAGTGAGTTGTGTGAAATGAGTGTGTTTTAATATTGTTTTAATGTAGTCTGGAGAAGAGAAGAATGAGGGGGGATTTGATAACAGTCTTCAATACCTGAAGGGCCATTACAGACTGGCTGGAGATGGACTTCTTTCTGTGGTGGTAGCGGGTAGGACTAGGAGCAACGGTCTTAAGCTGCAGCAGAGGAAATTTAGGTTGGAGATTAGGAGGAGCTCTCTGACTAGGTCAAGCAATGGAGCAGGCTACTTAGAGAAATTATGGACTCTGCATCCTTAGATGTTTTCAAGAGCGGGTTGATAGACACTTGGCTGGAATAGTTTAGTAAGGGATGATCCTGCCTTGCACAGGGGGCTGGACTACATGACCTAGAGAGGTCCCTGCCAGCCCTACTTTCCTAAGTTTGTATGTTCTGGGAGGGGTAGGCGTCTGTGTGGCACAAATGACCAGAACTAGTTAGTCATCTCAGCAGACAGGCCAAAGATGAGTTGCCTGAACTGCATTCTCAGCCCTGGTAGCGGTGAGTTGTGGTGCATTGGTAGGATGCTCCTGCCTGCCCTGTTCTCTATAGAAAGAAAACTTCTAGCCTCAGGACTATCCTGATAACACTTGAACCACAGATAAGCCTTAGCACCAGGTGCATCATCCCCAAAGAAAATGCTTTGACAAGCCTGAGCTTTTCTGACAATAAACAAGTGGGTTGCTTGCATAGAAATATAATCCTGGTCAGTGGATTTGTTGTGCAGCCTGCTTTCTCGGCACGTATCACAGGAATCTAGGAAAGCAGTTGATAGCTCTTAACTTTCCATTTATGGATGATTGCCCTGGGTAGCATGTAAAAGAACTTTGCAAACATACATGCACTCTCTAATAAAATTTGGAGGTCTGCTCTGCTGTGAAATCACACGGACTTGCCATTATTGCTAACTAGAGCCACATGTGTTCCTCTGGCAGCTGAGCCCTGCAGTAATCATTATTAGAGTAGCCTTGAGAGAGGCTTAAGAGGGACCTTGGGCGGGAGGTCAGAATTCTATTCCTGGCTCTTCCACTGATTTGTTGCTTGACTTTGGCCACTTCAGCTTCCCTCATTTTCACTGTGTATAAAACAGCGATTTTAGCACTCACTTGCCTCACCGGAGCCTGAATATCAGGATGCAATTGTATCTGGGAAGTGCTTTGAGACCCTTAGACAGGAGGCCAAAGTATGGTTATTTGTAGCAGGTAAAGTCAGTTTCTTGTTTAGGAACTGTCTGTTCATACATCACTTAACGTTGCAAGATCCCTGATATTAGTAGCATTAAGAAGAAGCCATAGTAATAACTATGATTGTGTAGCACATCAGGCAGGAGTGCCTGTTCTCTCCTTTAGGGGTCTACAAAACAGGGCTTGTGAATCACCCCAATTTCAGCTGTCTTAGGAGATTTTTTTCAGCACATCCATACCTGTCTGGAAATACTGTGAAAACATCCTGTGGCACAAGGCAATCCTTACAGTTCAAAGTAGAAGTATGAATTTCTTTTTGTACTTTCTTTCTTTAGATTTAATAAAGCACCTTTCTATAACTGCAGGGAGCTACCTACATAAAAGTGGCTAAAATTCATGAGGAAAAGTGGCAGATAAATGTTTCACACAAATGTTTTTGATCCAGGTTGTTTCTAGGGAAACATGAGGGTTTGGATTGGTTGTTCTCTTGATTGGGTCTACAGATCTACAGCAATGATGCTCATTAACACTGGGGAGAGTTACATCACCTTTTTTTGGCTACAGTTTTTTTTGTGTTAGAACAGGACTGTGAAAAGTCAGGTTGGTTAATAAGGTGCTGGCCATAGTGTTGTGGCCAATGTAAACCCTGACAAATGATGGACGCTATTGTAAGTGCTGCGCTTGCTTGAGGTCTAGACTCGGGCATGGTTTAATCATGACTAGGTGACACAGAACTGAACAGCACTTGTCCTTGTTCACACTGAGTATCAGGCTCTTCCACTGTCATCTTAGTCAAGTCCTTGATTCTCCTTGGGCTTCAGTTTCCTTATCTGTAAAATGGGCCTGATAGTTCCTCAAAGGGGTGGTGTGAGGGTTTAGAACCCGACTCCCATAAATCAGAAGTAAGTGCACAGAAGTGAGTGATGTAAGATCAGGATCAGGTATTTATTTACCGCATAAAAATACAAGTCCTTGTATTAGTATTAAGGATCATTATACATAAGTGGTAAAGGCAGAAACACCGTTAAGGAGTGGGGCCTGTCTCCCTCCTCACCGTGTCATGCTCTCCATGACACTGAACTGTGCATCATTGGGACATACAGTACTTCACCGGTGGTGTGAAGGGGTTAAAGCCCAGAGAGCTATTTCATGTTGATTACCCACAGTCTAAATAGCTGCAATGCAATCTTCTCTCTGCCAAGCTTTTCCCAGATGATCTGGCAGCACCTAGGTCTCTAAGGGACTGAGAGCCGAAGCCAGGTCCTCCCTGGAGCAGCAGCTGACAATGAGTGACCAGATGATAAATGACAGCAGATTCTGAGAAGTGGTATTAGTTGGGTGTGTTGGTATTAACTGCATAGGGAAGCAACTGAGCAGCCCATGTCATCTCTTGTTTTAAGGAAAGTTACATTTAAACCCCACAGCTCTAGTTCTTATGAACTTGGATACGAGTGAATGTGATATCCAACCACCCAAATGACTTTGAAAATGCTCTTTTTGCTGGTGACACGCTTTCTTCACTCTTCCTGCTTTCTATCCTGGCCAGTGAAAGAGGCACCCAAACACAGCCAATGCACTTGGAGACTTCATCC